AAAGTTGTGTTTTCTCACCAAATCTGGCTACCTGCAGTGGTTGCTAGAAGGCTACGGTCTGACTTTTCAAATTTTTTTTTGTAATAGCTGCTAAAACTTTTTGAACAGTTTGAACAACATTTGCTTCTTCAACTGTACACAGATGCTTCTTCAAACAATTGAAACTGCCTCAAACTTACCTTAAGTTCCTTTTTGTAAGACTCGAGTTTTAAATTTTTTTCTATTTTATGAAGCAAGCTTTATAACTACAAGGGATAGATCATGTTAAGACGAGAAGAGGGAATGAACGAGAAGGAGAGAACTTTTGCTTGAGTTCAAGCGAACTCAAGTAATGTAAGGGCAATGATGTGTAATCTTTGGGGAGGCCACATCGTCAACCCAATGGAGCTGAATTCCTTTGTGCAGATACATAATGAAGAAGATACTATGAGTGCCTCAACAGGTGAATTCATATCATAGTTGTGCAAGTTCGACAACTAGATTAACATGAAGAAGGGTGACACAAAGGCGATGCAGTGACGAAGTCGAACGGTGCAAGGTGGAATAGAAAGAGAGCGAGCTAAGGTTGGAGTCTTGGGCTTGACAGAACATTTTTAAGTGGAGAGGCTTTCATGTCATTCATTTAGGTAGATTGAGAGCTCTAATTAACAAATGACCTCAGGAGTCTAAATAAATAAATAATTGAATAGATTACAAATTAGTATCCAACTAATTAATACAAAAAATAATAAAATAATATATAGAATATATGTATATATATATATATATTGTAATCAAATAACATAAATAAATACTAGAAAATTAGTTAATTGAAAAAAAAAAAATTCTATCAAATTTATGTGTATATTGATATTAAATTGTAATATATTACTATTAAGTATACTATTAAGTAATTTATAATTAATTAAAATGTATTTAAATAATATCTCAAGTAAGTATAAAGTATTTAATAAGTTACTTCTTGAATAACAAACGAGTTTGTTTATGAACATTAAGAAGCGAGTTTTACTACGTTCAATTTTAGTTCACTTAAGCCCCAATTTCGTAAAATATGCTCAAACTTGTTTATTTACTAATTTTAGCAAACATGATCGAGCAATAATCAAGCCGAGTTCGAGCTGTTCAACAAATGCATTGGTTCATTTACAACCATAATGGTGGCAATTAGATTGACCATCACCTTCCTAATAAGATTCTTGAATCAACTATCATGCCACATACTATCATTAAGTAGAAAAAAACTATGAAATAAAAGAAAATAAGTGATTTTCTTTTTTATTTGCATAGAGAGGGATTAACTTGTCTTCTTCTCCCTACATTATATATTCAAGAAGCGATGTCCTCTTTTTTTCTCTTAATTATCTATCAAATGTATTTGATAGTAATATTTATGCAAGAGATCAAAAAATGTAAAATTAAGTGAAATACAAAGCATAACCCGGGACAAATACTCAAAAGGGCTGAAAAATTGATTGAAGAAACATTTCCCATACTATTTAAGACACTGTGTGAGTATGCACTTTTTAGTTGAATGCCATTACTTCTTCTATCTTGCTTCTTAGAGAAGGCACTTCAAGGATGAACGGCTCTGCGTCATTTTAAAATATGCCTCAGTTAAATTTTTTAAAAAATACATACTGAGAAAATTCAATCTAAAAACAATGATGGTAAAATTAAGAAGCAAATTATGAGTATTGAGAATATAACTATTCATATTTATGAAAAATAAAACATAATTAGCCTTCATCATTACATTGGAATGAGCAAATTAATACTTCATGATAGGTAATAGGTTGATGTCAGAAGAGAGAGCAAGCAACATATTTCTAGAAAGGAACTAATACATAAAATTCTAACAGATTATTGAGATCTTTTCATCATTAGTCAACTTGTGGTCATTATTTACTTGGAGGAAGAAATGGAGAAATGAGCAATATAGTAACATGAAGAGTGAGGGATAATCACTGTACTCTAATCTCCATTAGGAAGTCTCTGTTACCACATAAAAAACATACATTTGATGGAGAAGTAAGAGAGGTACAACTTGACAGGAAAGATATTGTGATGTGGGGATAATTTTCTCAACAACTTTAATTATGAAATCAAAACCTACTACAAAGTTTAATTTTATGTGATTTCATGAATTCCTAAAAACTCTATCTCGCTTATAAGCCACCTAATGCCATCTATTCAATGTGCACAATTTTGTTACTTAACACCATTGAACATTTCGTAAGGGAATGATTCAATGGTGTTGAAGAGTGCCATTCACTCTTCTTCATTCAACCAACTATAGGGTGGAATTTATTAATTTTAGTAATGAAATGATAGAAAGTTTGTAATTATATTAGATGTCATATGGAGGAAATTCTTTTGTTGATCAACTCATAACAACTACTAAAACGTTGGAGGTGAAATATGAAAGTCTAAGGCTGCCTCACATGAAATATGAAATTGTCATAGTAGTTGGTGACTGATTATATTGTCCGACTTGATAGGAAATTTGACTCTCCTCCATCTCCAATGAGCACACTAGTGAAAGAATTGTGATTATGTCTGGGGAGAGGATAAGAGAGAGAAAAAAGGAGAATAATGGTAAAATAAGTGAGAAAAAATGCTAGAGGGTAAGTATATGTAACAACTTTCTTATAACTTTTCTTATGTGAAGATTTAATATTATATACAGTGGAGAATGTAGACGGACCTCAATAAACCACATAAATTCTCATGTTCTCCTAATATTTTCATTGCAAATTTATTTCCCGTTCTAATGATCACAATTGCTCTCAAGCATGCACCTTTTCCTAACAAGAGAGTTAGGAAATAAATAATGCTTGTCAAGCTTGCCAAAAAATAGATTACCATCCCTAACATACCGTTTTACATGCTTTTTATGATTGTTTATACAAGTAATATATTGGTTGGAAATAAAATGAAGAATCCCAGATGAATGATTTGAGCGCTCGTCTGTCTTGAAAAAAAAAACACGTTTTTCTAAGCTCGAGTCAATGGAAAGGGTAATAAATTTCAATGGATTTAATAATATATTGAGTGAAACCAAAAAAAAAAAGTAAAACAAATTAAGTGTAGAAATAGAAACAATAACAATAAAAAAAAAATCAACTTGAGAAAAGAGAGCAAGCTATTGAACTCAACTCACTAAAAAATGAGTCATGTCAAATTTACATTGGCCTCTTAAATCTCCAAAAGTGTTTGACAAGGGATTTTGTAAATCCCGTTAATTCTTATGGAAACCGTTGGCTAAATTATGTGAGGATTTAAAACTTTATTATGTTTGTTATAATAAGAAATCATAATTAAAATTTGATTATTTTATTATCGATAAAGATTAAAATTTATTTCTAATTGAACTAATTAATAATTAATTAATAGTTTTTGTTAAATTAATTACTTAGTAAGCAATTATTTAACATTAATAAAATATTAATTTTATAATTATTAATTATTTTAATTAAGAATATATTTTAAATTGATTGACTATCAAATAATTCCTATTTTTATTAAATATAACTTAATAATTACATAAAAATTTATTTAATCATAATTAATTTAATATATAAATTAAAAGTTAATTATTAATCTATTAAGTTAATAAAATTAACTTAAATAAAACCTAATCCCATCTCCCCTTCCCCTCTCACTATCCTAAGAAAAAATATTACATCAGGACTCTTCACGTAGAGCTACGTGCAGAGTCCAGTGAAATTACGCTGTGAAGGTGATGGGCTCGGTAACGCATG